AAGTGTGGAGTCAGATGAGACCCTTGGCTTCTGGCATCCATTTGTGGATAATGCATGACTGGTGTCTGGTTTCCCCTGCTCTCTCCACCCATGTCTGGTTGTCCTGTCATTGCAGTTAGTGAATGTGGATGCAGATTAAGCTTGGTTATTATTTATTTATTTATTTTTGACACAGGTTCTCCCTGTTCCCCCAGCTGGCCTGGAACTCCTTATGTAGGTCAGGCTGGCCTTGATCTCACAGAGACTCACCTGCCTCAGCCTCCCAAGTGTTGGGACTAAAGGAGTGCCACCATGCCTGGCTAATGTCATTTATTAAAAAAAAATTATCTAGATGTATTTATTTATTTTTTAATGTGTGTGAAGGTTTTATCTGCATGTATATAAATGCACCCATGTCATGCAGCACACATGAATGCCAGAGGAGGGTGTCAGATCCCCCCAAACTGGAGTTATAGATGGCTGCTAGTTGCCATTTGGATGCTGGGAACTGAACCTGGGTCCTCTACAAGAGCAGCCAGTGCTCCTGACTGCTGAACCATCTCTCCATCTCCCAGGGTCATTTATTTAATGTTAACCATAATATTTTAGCAATTCAGTATTTAGGTAGGCAGACTGAGATCAGTCTCATGTGAAAGTCTTCCTTTTCGGGTAGAGAGGTGCAGGGGAAGCCAGGACCTGTGCATGCTAAGCACATGTTCTACTAGTGAGCTCTACCCAAGCTGAAAATCATCTTCTGAAGGATTTAAGCTCAAGAGTTGGCTAGATAGCGCCAAAGAGCCTTGTAGTCTGGCTGTGTTCTCTCAGGTATAAAGATGGGGATCTACCTATACCTTGTATTCTCTGCTTTTTTCAGTCTTGGGAATGGAATCCAGGGCCTCAGGTACTAGGCACTTGATATACTGCTGAGCTGCATACCCAGCCACTGATAGCCTCTGAGTTTGGATGGTTTATTTGCTTTTTCATCATTTTGAATAGTTAACATTTGTTTAAGTGTTTTTTGTTTTTTTTTAATTTCATATGCACCATTATGATATAGTCTAATCCCTGTATGACCTTGGTGAATAAATATTATACCACCATTTGGCAGAGGAGGAAGGGAAAGAAACCTCAGCTTCTGCCTCTGTTTCACACATGCATTCATTGAAAAAAAATCTCAGGTAATAGGACTTTACTGAACATCTGCTAGATACCAGAGATGGGGTTTTGAGCACAATAGAGAACTCATTTGGTGAGGGAAATAGACAAAGAAACCCCAGCTATTACAGCTACTGTTGTGGAGAGACCCAGGGCCCAGGGCCCAAAGACCAAGGAAAGCTTCCTGAGAGAGGTGTTGCTGTGAGGACCAGGGGATAATTTGTCAGGGAAGAAGTGGAGAGTTTGGTTTAAGAATACACACGGCGGGGGGCGGCGGGGAGAATACGCATGGAACAGGGGAGTGAAAAGTAGATTTGATCAAAATTAGATGAACTCATGTATGAAGGAAAAAATATTAGAAACAAAAAAATCAAATGGAAATAATGTGTATGGTAGGAGTGGAGATGTGGCTTTGTGTCGAGTACAGGCTTAGCATGTGCTAAGTTTGACCTCTTCAAAAACTCAAGAGACTGTGCATAGCAGGTTAGAGAACCAGTGCAGTGTTTATCCCTGGGCAAGAGGAGATGCATGTAGGATGTGACTGGGGCAGACTGTGAGAAGCAGGAAGAGCCCCTGGGGGCTGTGCCTACAGACTAGGGGGTCTGACACTCCTTCTGTCTCCTGATCCAAAGTTTGTTGCCAGGCAATCCTCTTAGGACCAGGTTTCATTCCCAGATTCAAGGAGGGAAGCAAGAGAACCTTCCTTCATTCCAAGATGAGTCTGGCCAGGGTTGGTTGGCTTCACTTGCTGAGTGAGACATGTGGCTGACCAGACACTCTTTGCCTACCCAAAGAAACATCCACCTCCTCCTTTGAGCTGATAGAACCCCACAGACTAGCTGTGGAGTCCTGCCAAGTGTTTTCTGCTGTGGCCTTAGCCAGAAGCTCCTTTTCTGAAGAGAAGGAGCCCATCCCCCCTTTTTTTCAACTTAAAAATGATGGCCGAGTTACTCTGTGAGTTTTGGGTGTGTGGCAGGGTGGCCCTGGGCATTACCTGCCTTCTCTACTTTACCTTCTGCTTTTTTTTCAGGAACAGGCTTGGGGCTGGTGAGAGTGTCACACCTGCATTTAGCACTTCTTTGCTTTGAGCAGTAGAAACTCAAGACCAGGGCCATCTAGAACACTTCACTTTTCTTAGTGTTAGCTTAGTTTCTTGAGGACAAGATCCGTCAGATCATACTCAGTTTCCAAAGGCCACCGGTGTTTGGCACCTTGAAGGTGCTCAGTTGCTAAATGTGTGGGTTTCATCATAGAACATTACCTAACATTTCTGGGGCACTGACAGTGTAGACAGGTATAGTTCTAAGTTCCTTAACTCACTTAATGAGTGCCAACTCATCTAATCTTCCCAGCAACCCTGAGAGGTAGGCACACCTTATATCTGTGTATTTAAGAGGAAGAAACCGAAGCACAGAAAAGTCAAGCAATCTTTTTGGGATTACACATCTGTAAGTGTGGGATCAAGAGTGGTGCCTAGGCAGGATGTCTCAAAAGCCGAGCTCTGAACCGCTCTGCTTTCCTGCTTCCCTTCACCATTCCTGGGGAGCCTGGATTAGCTTGTCTTGAGACTGCCAGACCCGTAGGCAATGGTCCCATCTTGGATGCTTACAGATACTTAACTAGAAAACAACAAAGGCCATGTTTAGGTCTTCTCCTTTTTACTTTCTGCTTGTGGTAATCAGCTTTCTATCTCTATAATGAAATACCTAAAAGAATTAATAGGCCTTAATAAGATGTATTAAGAAATGGTTTATTCTTGGCCTGGAGAGATGGCTCAGTGGTTAAGAGCACTGACTGCTCTTGCAGAGGACCTAGGTTTGATTCCCAGTACCCACATGGTGGCTATGAACCGTCCTTGACTCCAGTTCCAGGGGAATCCTAAGCCCTCTTCTAACCTCCGCAGCATTGCATGACACAGGTGTACTCACATACATTCAGGCAATATACTTGTGCACATAAAATAAAAATAATAAACAAAATATTTTAAAAATTTTTAAAAAGAAATGGCTTATTCTTGCCTCCAATTTTGAAGTTCAAGGCCATGATTGATTAACTCCATTGTCTTGGGTCTGTGGTGAGGCAGCACATCATGGCAGCATGTGGCAGAGCAAAATTGTTCACTTTATGAGCTAAGGAGCACAGGGAGGAAGGGGCTAGAGTCCCATAATCCCTGTCAAAGACCCACCCCCAGTAACCTTAAGACTTCCCAATAGGGCCCATGTTCTAAAAGTTCCACCCCCTCCTAATAAGTACCACCCTGGAACCAAGCCTCCATCGTATGGGCTTTTGTGGGACCCACCTGATCCAAACTATCACAGTAATCATGCTTTGTTTGAATCTTCCTGGTAGGGAATTTGGAAGTCTTAAAAATCCCTGATCAGGAGTTGTTTAGCCTGGCAGCCCCAATATTCGCACAGATGTTTTTCTGGAAGGAAGGCTCTCAGCTTGAGCCCAAGAGAGATCACTGACTATATTTCTGAGGGTGGGTTTTCTGTTTCTATTTTGGTGAATTCTATAAAGAATTCAGAAGAAGCAGTCTTGTGTTTTCACTAGTATAAAGTGAGGTTTGTATGTGAGAAGCAGGGTGTGGTCACTGTGTAAGTGTGTAACTCAAATCTTCTTTCAAGAGACCTTGCTAAGGGGAGTTGAGGAGATTGACAGCTGCCTGCAACTGCCCCTTCTGTATTTTCTGGTTCACGCCAAGACTGTGCTTCCTCTTGGTTTAACAGGTTGTAACAGGGGTCTGGGAATAGGGCCTTTTCCAAAGCCTGACGTGGGACTCCTCTGATGGCAGCTTGCTTGAGCACTTTGCTTTTCTGGCCAAGGTTCTTAGAACTGTCTGTGCTTCTCGTCTTTCTCTGACATGGGTGTTGGATCTGTGTTGGGTTATAAAGCCCCCTTTCCCCCATCCCTTTGTCCATCATAGGTATCATTTCTGATAAAATCTCTTGCCTAGTTGATCCTGCCTTAGCATTTGCTTTGCAGTGGCCCACATTATGGATCCTGGGCAAAAGATGCTCTCTGTGAGGTTGTTGGTGATTAACTTGTACAGGGAAGTTTAGGGGAAGGAAAGACACCCTCCCTGCTATGAAAAATGAAAAAAAAAAAAACCCAACTTTGCTATTATTCCCTCACATGGTATCCATCATCATCTTGAGTAAATATTGGCTTCTGAGTCTTAGAATTTGGCTAATGGGGCCAGAGCCAGTCAGCTTTCTTAGTGGAGGACATGATAGATGATGACAGAGTTGCAGTGATTTCCAAGCCCATCAATACATGGGGCCCCAGTTAGGTATGTCCACACTATCATAGAAATTCCCATTTGGTAGATCCGGATGGGAGTTGGGGGCAGCAATCTGTGCTTTGGAAAAGCTATTTGGGAGAAAGGCTGGGGAGATAGCTTAGTGGGTAAAGTGCTCACTGCTTAAGATTGAGGACTTGAGTTCTGATCCCCAGCATTCATTTAAAAATCCAGGTGTGTTGAAGCATATCTGTAACCTCTGTGATAGGGGCAAGGAGACAGGTGGATACCTGGAACATGTCCAGCTAGTCTAACTAAATTGGTAAGCTCCAGATTCAGTGAGAGGCCATGCCTCAAAATAAGGTGGGGTGCGACTGGAAAAGACACCTTAATCTACCTCTGACATTCTGCATGCACACACAGACACCCCTGTGCATGTATTTGTACACACATGCAAACATGCACACAAACCACACACACACACACACACACACACACACACACACACACAGAGTTATTTGGGTGTGGCATAATTCTTGTCCCCTAAGAGTCAAGGAATGGCCACTCCATCTTGTAGCAGTCTCTAAACTTTTTGGTATCTCTTGTGTGCTCCTTTCTTAAACAGTCTACTTCCCAGGAGTCTCCGAGAACCAGCCAGCCAGTGGACAAGAAGGACGTTTCTGTTGACTCAGATGCCGCCCGACCCCCTACCCCCAGCAAGCTGTTCAGTCAGGGTGCAGACAGCAGTCTGAATAGTACTGATGGCAGCAAGTCCCAGGGAAAAGGGGCAACTTGTTGGTGCCCACAAAAAGAAGAGAGTAAGAAAAGTGATCCTGAGGCCTCTGTGAGTCCAGTGGCTTCTGAGGTGGGCCCTGGAGGTGATCAGCCTACCAAGGTCTCTGAAAAGGAGCAGGCCAAGGACCCAGCAGATGTAGAAAAGGAGGGTTCTAAAAGGGAAGATGCAGCAAAGGAGCCAAAGGAGGTTTCTGCCCTGGAAGAGACCATGTCAGATGCCAGTGAGGTAAGTCTCCATGTCTTAAGGCAGGTGCCGGCTGCAACCCACTGCTGTTCTCTCCATCCCTGTACAGCTTCCTGCCTCTAGTCTCTTACTGAGTTAGGAGCTGCACCGAGCTGTCAACATCAGCCAGAACCCTTAATTGTGACAAATATGCCCAGATCCAGCAGGCAGCAAAACCCTGAATGAAACTGCAAACCTGCTGGCACTGGGAACTCGAGCAGAAACATGTTTTCCTGTTGGCACCCTTCTGGAGTATTCATGTTCTCCTCTCTGGCTTCTTCCCCTCCTCTGCCTCCTGCTTCTATGTGTAGTCTTGGTTTGCTGCAATCTGAGTTCCTGTAAGTGTGTGTGTGTGTGTGTGTGTGTGTGTGTGTGTGTGTGTGTATGTGTGGAGTGAACGCTATCACAATTGAGCTACACCAGCATAGGTAGCTTAGATTACAGGAAGACTCTTATTCATTTCTGTGACAATTTCTGGACCAACCCCAAACATGGAAATGGTTGCTTTCACAAGATTAGTCCAATGACCAAAATGGTCAAAGTAAGTCTGTATAGAGGGAGGACCTTTGGTGTTACAGCTTTTCTGACTGTTAGTCCTGTTCATCCTCCAGGTGGGTAGTGAGGGAATTCATTTAAAGAACTTTTATCTCTGGAAAGGATATTTCCGGAGCTGGAGGGATGGCTCAGTCTGTAGAGTGCTTGTGCAAACATGAAGACCTGAGTTCAATCCCCAGAACCCATCTTAAAAGCCAGGTGTGGTGGTACACACTTACAATCCTAACACTGGGAAGGTGGAGACAGCTAGATTCTTGGAACTCATTGTCTAGCCAGCCTAGCCAGATCAGGTGGGCCCCAGGTCCCTGAGAGACCCTATTTCAAAAACAAGGTGGAGGGACTAGAGAGATGGCTCTCAAGTTAAGAACTTTCTGCTCTTGCTGAGGACTCACTTTGGTTCTCAGCATCCATATAGTGGCTCACAGCTGCTTAGAACTCTAGTTCCAGGGGATCCGATGACCTCCTCTGGCCTCCTCAGGTACCAGGCACACATGGTGCACTTACATACCTGCAGGCACTCACATACATAAGTCAAAATAAATAAATCTTTAAAAAAAAAAAGGTGGACAACCATCCTGAGGAACAACACATAAGACTGACCTGGTCTGTACATGCACCCACACCAACCTGCATAGACACATACACACACATGCTTGCACACACACATCTGCACACCCTGCACACACATGAACAAGCACACATCAACACATTTTATTTTTTAGGAAAGCCTCACATTTCCACACTGCCGGATTCCTGTCCCGATTTTTGGTCTTTCTTTTGTGTGTGAATCTTGATCTAATTTAGGATGTGATTGTTCACTCTCAGCATGACTAACTACCCAGTGGGGTGTAGACTGATATTTATTAGCTTTCAAAATAGGTAGGTTTCAGCTTGGGCTTGAGTTCTGAGTTGGCACTGTGGCCTGATGGGAATTCTCTGGTCGGTGGCCCTGTCTCTGTCTACTCAGTTCTGGAGGATTTCTCTGTGATGTGTCTTTCCAGGAGTCAGAGATCCTTGAGCACATGAAGAACTCACAGCTTTCAGGCTCTGAAGCTTTTCAACCTAAGTCCTTCCTTGGCCTGGTGAGTCGACAGTGAGTAGCAGCAGGGTGGTGGGTAAGAGGATGGGCCTTCTTTTCCCCAGGGTAACACAGCTAGGAAGTGGGAGAGTTAGCACTCAAAGCTAGGTCTTGTTAGTTCTTCTTTCTCAACCTGTTAACCAAGGTTAGCACTGCCTGTTTTATAGGTTTGCTGTGAGAAGAAAGTGAGGCAGAGTGTATAAGCTAAGTATCAGCTGCTAGTACTCTACTATGTGTGATTTGTCTGTGAGGTCACCTGAGTTGCTTGGAGCTCAAACTGGACTATTACACAAATTCAAGAGGTTACAGGCTCAAGTGCAGCGTTCCTGAGTCACTGAGCCACAGTGAGGACCGGTCACTAGGCTCTGGCCAGGAGAGATGCTGTGGTTTTATTTTGAAAGTTCGAAAGTTTTAGGCTTTTCCCTGCACTGCCAGGTTATCCATGATTTCTCTCTCCGAGAACTTCTGCCCAGTCTGATGGATACTGATTCCATTTGCTGTGTCTGAGTTAGGTGCTTTTTTTTTGGACACAGGGTTTCACCATGTAGACCAGGCTGACCTTGAATTCATAGAGACCCACCTGCCTCTGCCTTGTAAAAGCATGCAACACCATGCCCAGCAGAGCCAGGTACTTTTGGCCTTATTATTACTACTACGTGACCCCCTCCACCTGTTCAGAGGAGGCAGATATAAAGGAAGGGATTAGTGGGAGAGGCTCAGGAATGACCAGTGAAGCCAAGAGGGGTATAGATGAGTTAGGTGCCAGTATGCTTTAGCCCCACACTGAGCTGTGGGTTTCAGAGGCAGATGGCAGCTGTGTTTGGTGGAGTAGAAGTCAAACTGAAAAGATACCACCAAGAAAGAAGAAAACCCACAAACTAGAAAGGGAAGCCAAAAGTCACTGTTGGGGAAAAAAAAAAATCTATGAAAAATAGCCGTATATACTGAACTCTTGGATACAAGAGGTCTGGCCCTTCCCAAGCTGCTGCTGTGTGGTGCCATGTGCCCATCGGCATTTTTCTTCTCTGTGGGGGTGGAGGGAGGAAGCCATGGACAGCAGGACCAGACCTTGTCTGGGCGTCCTGCCATTCATCAGGCTGATGGCAGAACTGTCCCCATTAGCTTGCTGTTGGGTAGCAATCCTTCACTGAGCCCACTAGGCTCAGAGGGGGTGGGACATGGTCTGGTGGCAGCCAAAGGCCAGTGAGGAGTTGGCCTTTATGTGAATACCTGCCTCCAAGAGGATCCTGTACAGAAAGCACTACTAGTTAACCCCATTGTCCAGAGGGCTGCCTATATGGGAAGAGGGAAGGAATGAGCTGGAAGGAGCACATCAGTCTCTAGTTCCAAGCTGCTTGTGGGTTTCCTGGTACCTCTCTTGCCCTGGTTGAGCACTGGAGGGGCAGAGACAGCTGGAAACAGCTGTATAGCCTGTGTCAGGGAGAGAGTAGGCCTGGGGCTTCTTTCACCTCCAACCCCCTGTTACCAGCTTTATGTCCTGGGGCAAATTATGCATGCTCTCCGCCCGAAGCTGCATCTCTGGGAGGAGATGCAGCTCAGTCTAGCAGGGTTATATTTTTTGTCTATAACTTTATTGTGAAAAATATCAAATATATAGAAAAATCAAAAGAATTTTACAGTGAATCTCTCCACTCTCCACATAGTGTCTGGAATGAACTTTTTATTTTTGGCCTTTTGGAGACGGGGTCTCCCTGTAGCCCCATCTAGCTGTCCTTGAACTCACTATGTAGACCAGGCTGACCTTGAACTCAGAGATCCACTGCCTCTGCCTCCCAAGTGCAGGGATTAAAGCTGTGCGCCGCCACACCCAGCTCTAGAATGAATGCTTGAACTTTACTTCATCATCTTTCCTTTCGTCACAATGTTGGTTTGAGAATTTCATTAGATGTCAGTTCAGTGCCTGGGACATAGGGGACACCTTTCTGGAAGGTTGGTGTTGGGCGTAGAGGGAAAGGCCCGGTAAGTGCTGACTGCAACAGGCAGAACTGACTTTCTCATCTTCACCATCTCCAGGACTTTGGTTTTCGCAGCCATGTCTCAGAGCACCTGCTGGATGGTAACTTGCTTTCTCCGATCTTTAAGGGAACACATTGGAAGGTGAGCCTGGGTGGTGGCTGGGCTGGGACCTTATTGTCTCTGGCAGCCACTTAAAAATTTTATTTATTTCTTTTTATTTTGTGTATGGACGTTTTGCCTGCATGTATGTAAGTTTCCCATGTGTGTGCAATGCCTGCGGAGGCCAGAAGAGGTTCTATTGGATCCCTTGGAACTGGAGTTGTGGATGGTTGTTAGCTGCCATGTGGGGGCTAGGAACTGAACCCAGGTTTTCTGGAAGAACAGCCACTGTTCTTAACTGCTAAGCCACCTCTCCAGCCTCCTCTGCCCCTTTTTTGAGATCTGGCAGCCACTTTTGGGGGTGACCCATATGAGTCCTGTCCACAGCATGGATTTCTGGATGTTCTGTCCCTCCAGGCATGTCCTGATAGGGCTTCTGAGCATGGCTGCAATGTTGCAGCTATGCATTAAAACATTCCTGCCCCCCATGTATCCATTTATTCATTCAGCAACTGAGGATTGAAGGTTGACAACCTGACCATGCAGCCCTTCCAGCCCCATGCTCTGCCACCCAGCAGCTTGGTTTGCAGCTCCCCCTTACTGCAGTACACTCTCCACCTGCGTGGCTACTCTACCAGTCCTGCGGCTTCCCCTTTCACCCTCACAGGCTCTTCTTTGGTCTTGGGGGCCCACTGCTGCCGTTGCCCCTCTAAGGAGGATGACTTGTTCCCACTCGTTGCTCCCCTTGGGGTTTCTTACTTTGCTTCTTTTTAAAAAATATATATTTATTATTTC